ACATCCGAAAATCGAAGGACGAAAAAGGACCCGTCTACTTCGGCTAATCTTTCACTTCAGTGGGGCCACTTGTTGGACGGCGCGCTGCCCCAAACTCCCACAATATATGGTATATAAATCAATATAAATTTTGTTTTTACATTAAGAAGTTGCGAGATAAAACATCCTCCATTCGCCAAGAAGGCTTTTTGATACTACATTTCTATTCCATTTGGAAAGACGGTCGGAATTTTTGCAAGCAGTTGGACGCGTTGAATATGCGAGATAAAGTACTTTATATAATCATTTTCAAGTTATTTCCGTAGTAACTTAGATCAAATCTTTATGCAAATCGTCAATCATATTTACACTACTATTTATTTATACTACGTTTATAATAATCACTTTTTGGGCTTAGGTCTTGGTATCACCCCCTAAACGGCAGTTTTTTAAAACCATTGAAACTGCGACTTAATATTCGTAATAGCAATACTTTTTGGAAAAAAGTATGCATCCAAAATTTTAGCAAATGTATTTCTTCTATTTGCGTTACCTACAACATATGCACGTTCCCAGAATTAGCATATGCAAATATTATGAGAGTAATATTTCAAACGAATTTTGCCTGATACTCCCGTTGGTTCGGAACAGTGGTCCGGTTTACCATGTTCTATTGATTTACCTTCCAGTCTTAAATTCGAAGCCATATTTTAAAGGTGAATTCACTTTTTCTGCTGCCCCTGCATTAAATGTTTGCAGGCATATCGCTACCGTTGAGCAATCTACACCATCTCCTTCCTATGCCACCTAATTGCCTGCTGCCTACTGCCAACTGCCAACTGCCAACTGCTAACTGCGCCCTCCATGGCCTTCGCTATTGCATCGATTGCGCTTCACTTTTAATGGCTGAAATGCATTGTTTGCCTTTCTGTTCAGGATTCTGCGCTCTGGAACGAAATTTGTCAAGCACCGAAAGGAGCAGCATACAAACTGGCTGAAAGTTGAAAAGGTGAAGGGAACGCGAATGCAAACGGACCAAGCACGGGAACGCGAACGGAATTGCAAATAACAAAACGCGAAAGGTATAAAGAAACCACTGAGCGGGGGCGCTCGGAAATATGTTGTTTCGCATGCCACATTTACCTTTTCTTTTTTCCTGTGTAATTGCACTGAAGTGCCCTCGTATTCCAAACGCGAATAAAGTTTTGTGAGGCTTTCACCCAAATTGAAAACTATTCAGATGCGGTACGCGATACTCAGATACTCATAGGTATGACTTTTTACTTGCAATGAAAATAAAAAAGTGAAATGCTTTTAGAGCAGTCTTACAATTTTTTCCAGTATTTATTTAAGTTGAATTTTTATTTAAGGACCTTAAAGGGAAAACTAAAATTTTTATTTGATCGCTGAGATTTTTATGCTTAGCTGTAGAATGGCTTTAGGGCGATGAATGTTTTATATCACCGATAAAAGTTTTAAAGTCATTTAACTACGAAAATTTACTATAAGTAGTACCATTCATCTAATATTAATTATTTACTGCATAATAACTTCGAATTGATTTTTATATATAAAGTGAAAACGGATTTCAGGTCATTGGAGATGATAGCCCGAATAAGGATTTAAGAGAATATAACATTTTTGGTTTGTAATTTTTTAATTCCTCTAAATCTGAATCCTAAATCCTTCTTAGCTGAAAACAATCAACTGAAATGCATTCTTGATTTCAATAAAAAATTTAAAAAATTTAACAACTTGGATTGCTGGTTTTTAACTTATCGTCGCATTGCAATTGACAATTGATTCGCGACTTCAAAATAAATTAATTGACACTCTTGATAAGAGACACTGTGAATTAGTTGCGAACGTGATTGTGTCCGATACGTGACTCGTCTTTATATTTTATTTCCATTTGTCTGTTTTATATATATTTGTATCTTACTTACTTACTAACTTGATTGGCCTTTAAAGTCGTAAGTCATGCATGAACATGTCAAGCAGTCTCTACAAGTCTGTCGGTTCTGGGGTTTACTATGGTTAGTTGATAATACCGAGTGCCTTTATATCAGTTGTTACTTGGCATTTTAAATGCAGATATGGACGTCGTCTACCGGGTTTTCTATCAGTAGGTACGGAATCAAACACCTTTATAGCCAGAGCGTGACTATGCTGTTGTCATTATTTAACTCATATTTTTCATCATTTCATTTAATTTGATGTTCATTACCAGTGCGGATGGAACCATAGATCTGCCAAAGTATTTTTTGCTCAAATGCTTCTATTGCCATCTAATCACTGTTAACTATAATACAAGCTTCTTATATCTAGTGATATATCGCTAGTGAAATAAGTTATCGCTGTTATATATATGAAACTATATAACATTTGATATATTGATAAGGTGTATCTTGTAACTAACATCTCCTAAAGAAATTAAAAGGGACTAAAATAATAATAATACATAATTGAAGAACTTATGGTATTCAGTTTGAGTAACTAGCATATGTCGTGTGACAACAAAAGAAAATATCAATCACTTTGAGAAACTCGGTAGTAAGATAATATCGATAATAATGACGGGTCTGTAATCGATGCTAACAGTCAGCTAAAGGAAGTATTCTCTTATAATATCTTGCACTACATGAGAGTCTCCTATATGATTGTTAGTTTGTAGGACTGATACATCACTTCCTAAAGTTATGGTACAACACAATGAATATCATATATAATAGATATGTTCAAGTGTTAAAATGCCTATTGCTCGCTGCTATTTGAAAGTGCTAAATTACAGATATATATGTGAGTAGAAGATTCTGTCGCACTGTTAATATTACTTATACTTATAAATGGAAATTGTGAAGCAATTTTTTCAGCTTTATTAAAGCAACGAACTTGTTTCAGATTTTATGGTAGATTGATGTGTAGCATAGGAATAGTAAGGTAAAAAGATATAGCATTGCTCTTGCTTCAGTTTTTGATTTTTATGAGTAATGCTTACACACGGAATACAAAATGGACCGATTATTAAGTTGCAAGGTTTGATAGTAATTGAAATTATTCACCTACAACTATCTATAAATTATCATCATATATAGATCTTTAGTCTTGCATTTTCATCAGTATAAGCATGCCTGACACTCGGAATCAAAAAGTAGAGAGTTATAAATTGTAAAGCTTAAAAGTGTTCAAAATTTCTTCTCTTTCTACAAGTTGTAGATAGTCTTCCTATATTGGGCTTTGATGTACTATTTTTATTAGTACTTGTGGATGCTTACCACTTTAAATCGAAAAATAGGGGATATAAAGTTTCAAGGTTTGGGAAAGATTAGCATTTACATTAAGACTGAAAAGTTTTCGGAAATTCTCATTTAAAATTCGCGCGCTGTATATTTTTCGATATTTTAAGTTTATGTAGTTTGGCAGCACTGTCCTTATTTACTATGCCAAAAATGAGCGCGATCTGTCAGACAGTTCGTTTACGGCAGCTGTTGAAACCAGTTCACCTCAGTAGTGCGTTGCGAAATGTCTTCGACGGTCGTACGACCGTCCTGAAAGGCTTTGTACCACTCATAAACTTGAGTTTTCGATAAAACTGATTCCCCATAAGCCTTTTGTAGCATTCGCAACGATTCTGCACACGAAATTTCGTTCGAAACACAAAATTTGATGCAAACTCTTTGTTCAATATTTTTTTCCATTGTTTTTTTCGCAACGCACTACTGAGGTGAACTGGTTTCAACAGCTGCCGTAAAACGAACTGTCTGACAGATCGCGCTCATTTTTGGCATAGTAATTAAGGACAGTGCTGCCAAACTACATAAACTTAAAATATCGAAAAATATACAGCGCGCGAATTTTAAATGAGAATTTCCGAAAACTTTTCGGTCTTAATGTATGTTTCTTATTTTTTAGATTATTTTTTTGTATGGAATTTTGACGTTCCATTTTTTACATTTCATGTATGCTTGACTCTCGCAATCCAAAAGGAAAGATTTTTCTCATACTCCCTTAATGTATAGGTTGTCTCCTTATATATGGTATTAAGACTCTTATTGTATTCTGATGTATTTGCGCATTTAAAAGGTCTTTAAAAATTGTCAATACTAATGAAGTCTAAAAAGTATTCAAGTGTGTTTGCGAGGATTCTTGATTTCTTATAAACTGAGTAGAGTGTTTAGTGTTTGGAGATCTTTAGGAGAGAAGCCTTTTCGATAATTGAATGATATCACAATATTTAATAGAAAAATTGAACTGAAAATAAATTAAAATAAATAAATTGCAAATATTTCGAATAAATTATTTCTCGTATCGAATGTGAAAGTTTGGGGCATTTATAAGTCGGTGTTAACGGGATGTGAATTTTCTAAGGTGTGTATATATATTTATATATATACATATATATTTATACATATATATATAAATATATACATATATATATATATATTATATATGTGTATGTGTGTTAGTTGTGGCTGTATGCGTCGTTAATTTTCTTTTTGTTTTGGCATTTATAAGTTAACAATATTTGATTTTTTATGAAATTTTTAATGTTTATCGAAAGTAAAAGTGGCTACAGCAGGAAAGCTAAGACGTTTGAGCTTGCATTTCTAACGACTCGTCCGTTGATTGAAAGTACGTAGGAGTGCTTTCGATAGCTACGTAATACTTGCAACCTGCAAAAGATGTACGCCAGAGGCAGCACACGATCATATGGCAAATGTGCAGCATTTGAAGCGACCTTACGTGCTCTAACAGGAAAAAATGCTTAAAATAAGAAATGGAATATTTATTGCTTTCAGCTGTCTGATTGTCAGTCCATTCGACTAAATACTAACTTGCCCGCCTGCTCGCCTGCTCGTCTGCTCTCCTGTCTGCCTGTAAGCCTGCATACCTGTATTCCCTCTAAATCTGTCTGCCATTTGCTATTTTTTTTTTAATTTCAATGCAATCTTAAATTTAATAGAACGCCCCAATTTCATTTTTGTATAAATCTTTTTTCTTTTTCTCTCTCTTCCTTTTAGGACGAATCAGAGCATTTGTATTCACGCTACTACATTCCGGGTACTCTGACGCGTCAAAAGCAGGAAGAGCTTGGCACATTTGATGCTGTTCAGGAAACACGTCGCGCACATGCCTCCAAACATAATCAAGGCAAAGGTAAATAAATAAAATAATGAGTCTAACAGATTTCTTCTGAACTCCACTCTAAACTATGCTCTCGTTTCTTACTATCTTATTTTACTGTCTATTTCCACTTTTGCTTCTTTATAGATTTAGCCAATGCACACGTGAAGCAGATCTTATTGGAAGCGAACTGCAATATACCACAACGACGTGTTGAACGCATACAAAAGGATCCTTCCAAAATTTATATGCCGCATTGCACTGTGCTCTACAGATGCGGCGATGACACTGGCTGCTGCAGGGCTGAACGTCAGACTTGTGCACCAAAACGCACCAAAAGCGTAGATCTCTATTTCTTCGTAAGTATCATAATGGTTTGCATATATATTTTATTTATAATAGATGTCTCGACTCTAGTAAAAATTTATTGTATACGCTTACTCAATACTTGGCCCAACGCCTTCCGTTTCTCAATCCACTGGGCTTCCTATTCCATTGGCATTTCTAAGAATCACCAAGATACTTTGTACAATTATTTAGATTGGTATGAGATGCCGAATCTATTATATTCACTTTTAAAGGATGCTATTAGTCTATAACTAATTAAGGTTGACTTAAAGCCTTCAGTTACTCAATCTATTAGCTTTCCAATTCCAATATCATTTGTTGGTATCGCTAAGGTGTAACACTTTTTTCGTTGTTAGTCATCTACGCTTCACGTGCTATATGGCTAATAATATAAATAGTACAATAAATTCATTCCTTACCCTGTATTTAATATCTTTTGCGGAGAATCTAGAAATATTATTTACAGAATTCAAAAGAGTGCTTTGTTTTTCCATAACTGTTTATTCTGTACTAGTAGCTAAAGTGCCGAATTCTAATTCAATAGAATTTTTCCTAAGATTTCAGATAATCTGTTTGATTCTGCAGATAGTGTCTAATATTTCCACTGTCGACCACCGTAATAAAGTCTTAATTATATAAACTTTGCTTAATATTTTTTATATAAGCTATTACGCTATTTTGACCGTGAAAAATCTCAATATCGGTTTTGTTGTCTTCTCTTACTCGTAGTATTACGTAAAAATTCATTACACTAAAGAAACACTGCACCAACATTTCATTAGAATGCACTCCCTGAACCCAAACAGCTACTTCTTTGTCCCATTGAAAATCGAATTTCATTCCAAAACCAGAAACTCAATTAAATTTTGAATTCATTTGATTTATTCGAAATTAATTTCCCTAAATTTGTATACCTCAATTAAAGCAATTGTTCACGTTCACGTTCACGAGTTCCGTTCCAAGCCACTTTTTTCTTTTCACTCATTTGGAGCATTTGAAGGCTGAATGTTGGCTTTTGTGTAGCTCTTCTCTTGTTTATGTAACAATTAACTTCAATGCCAGTTCACAGAAGGTTAAACTAATGTGAAGAATACATAACCGCACTCTACAGTCGGTAACTACAAATCCATATATGAAGAGCTATATATTGTCACTACTTTTCCAGGTTTTGTATTTATAGGTAAGAACAAGTCTTATTAAGATTTTGTTTCATCAGTTGGCATGGATTTGTAGTTTTGGATTGCTACCAATATTTTTACCTTACCGTTGAGTTGCATTTCCAGATATTTTAATTTGTTTATGATTTTGTGGTAGATATTCTTTATACTTCTATACCTTTTATTGAATTTTTGAAATATATCCTATTCATTTTAAATTTATTTATGGATCGATTTAAGGATCGAAATGGATAATATATTGAAATCTATAAATTTGTTTTTCCTTTTTATTCAATACTTCTTCAAGGTGAAAGGTGTTAACGATAGACGTGGTTCTATTGAACGTCTTACATTCATCAATCATACTGAGTGCCATTGTGTCGATAAGTCAAAGCATCCACCGGACGAGTATGGCAGTTTAACAGCGTTCACTCTCTCCCAAAATAGCCAAACGCTACGCCGCGCTACTATACTCAATTGTAATTGCCCCAAATTGTACGAAAAGATTCTCCAGGAAGACGGCTTCTGCCGTTGTGATTGTTCATCAGGTAACACCGGCTGTGATTGGTTAAAGAGTGGTATGGAACATTTCTCTATGATTGATAGAAAGTAAGTACCAAGACTGATGTACATTCGTAATATGTACTTATTTAAAATTTACCCATTTAGATACAATATATGTGTTTACTCTATAAAGTAATATATGATTCTCTTAATCAGATATTTGAAAACACAAAATGTTTCTTTTTCTCTTCTTATTACAGATGCATACTGGATGGACGATGTAAGTCCCCCACATGCCAGTATGGAAGTTATATTAAGAAGCACGGTCGTTGTCCACGACGCGAGGAACAACTTTCAGTCAATCTGGGTTCGTCGGCAATGTATAGCGCAAATGCAATCTCATCGCACAAATATCAATAAATTGTGATTGAATGCAAAACTCAATGCACCCAAGCCAAGAGGAACGAAATATATCTCAATTAGTAGTTGCGTGTTCCAGCACGACTGCATGAAGTACGCGCTGGATCTTTGGTCTTTTATAACACTATACTCTTTCCTGCTCTACAAAATGCGCGCTGCAGGACGCGCACTATAAGCCTTCTATTCCCAGAATAACGTCTGTTTTTTCAACTTTTGATGATCCAATTCAAAAGATGATGAAGAAGAAGATTTATTGCTGCACTTCGAATGAGAATCAAAATACTTGAATGAGTTATGTGCTTTATTCACATTATATAAAATTGTTAACTTAAGAGAACCAAGAAGGAAATTTACACTCTACTCTCAATAATTTTACTTAGACAAACTACGAATTTTGAACCTTTTTACTAATAGTTTAGAAATCAAAATCAAAAACAAAAAGCAAAAGAAAAAGAAATACCAAAAAAGAATTAATTAATTAAAAGCAAAAATTATTTAAAAAAATATTCAACAAAATAAAATATGGTATTCATATTCAAAGTAGGGTCGAAACATAAGTACATTTCTTCAGATTTACTCACACACACACACGCGCACCTATTCGAAATTTTGACATATTTTGTTGTACATACTTGACTGTATATATTTCCTTTATTGTTTTATATTTTGGGGTTTTGCGAAACTGAGTTAGTTCAATTATATTGCAGTGCTAAGAGAGAGAGAGTAGGGTGAAATTGAGTTAGAGATAAGCGAGATACGAGTTATGCTCTCCAAACGAAAGGTAGGTCCTTGTTTCAAATTCGGGTCTTTAGCAAGAAAAATTGAAAGTAATGTTTTCCAAAGTAATTTTCTATAATAGGAAAAATCAATACTCTTTAATATAACACTTTTTTATGAATATATATTCCGACAGTGTACCTTGGAAATAGTATTTTAATTTTGTAATGTCTGTAAAGCCGTACCATAAGGTTTTGTTTATTTATTAAAATATCTTGAACTTCTGGGAAATCAGTATTATAAATAATAATCTATATATCTGGCTTCTTTAAATCAGTGCAGGGACTTTTGCAGGAACATATTTGACAATTCGCCATCCCTACTCTGAAGATAAAACTTTGCCGCTAACTAAAGGCGCACAAAAATGTATCTTCAAAACGAGATTTTAATCCAGCAAATAATCAAATCATCAAATTGTGCTATCAATTTGGATAGTTCTATGGTAAGCCGTAAATGCTTAATAATATAGACGTCAATATAATTTTTTAACCAAAACTAACACAATGGCTCCCCATTTCTGCGAGGTTTTTAACTCCCTAAAAACCAGTAATTCCAATCCCACCGTTTTGTAACAAAATATTGTAACATCTATACTTTTTATGTACGCCTACTACATAAACACTGTACCATAGATAGTTCAGTGCTACCCAGAAAAGAATTTTGGTTTTGAAACTAATATATTGTGACATCATATATATAATCGATATTAAACTAAAAAATAAACAAGATTTCTCACTTTTATGTTTTTTGGAAGGAACCGATTAACACCATGGACTTTGTATTACTTATCAAAAATGAACATATAAACAATTATTTATCTTGTGGAATAATGATATAAAGGTTATTAGTTTTTAAAATTAAAATGGTTAAAGGTGGTAATCGGATGAAAAATAACGAATATTTTATCGATTCTTTTGTATCTTTTGTATCTTTTAGATTTCGCAGCACAGAACTTCGATTTCGATACAAATTACTTCACTCAGATCCAAACTCATTTGCAAAAATGTAAATTTTCTTTAAAAATTAATACAATAAGAGCTTTACCTAAATGGCCACTCAGAGAAACGTATATTTCTTCTAACTGTGCAATGGTGTAAATCCCCTGTCTACATACTCTCTTTTGAACAAAGCAAATTTCTGGTCCCATTGGTATCCACCAAGAAAAATCTTTCTGTCTTTGTATTTTCTTTCATATGAGTATTGTTTTTCGATATTTTTCCAGTATTTCCAGTATATAAAAACTTCCATTCAACAATGTAAATGGAATCTTTCATCTGCGGTCGAATGGTGTAGTATCTCTTTGAAAATGTCAGCAATCAAAACTGACTGAGAAAGAACGGCACAGATATGCACAAATTTGAACTTATATATATTCCAAAAACTATTAAAGTTCTAATACAGTCAGGACCTACTATATTTTCTAGTTGAAATTCAGTTGTCTTTTATTACGATTGTGATGTTAATAAATTTAAACTTATATATTCCAAAGACAATTCAGGTGGCACTAAAGTCAGGACCTACCACAATTTCTGCTAAAAATTCCGGTATTTTTGATTAAGATTGTGATGACGACTTGTCGACAGTCCCAGCTATAAGAACTTTTATTGATCAGAGAAATATTCCCTTTAATGGGGTAATATTATAGTCTTACGTTTTAGAGTCTAAGGTACATTAGGTCTAGATATTACCTTAGCACTTTATGTCCCACTGAACCCGGCGCCTATCACAACCGACACTCAGAATTCTAAGCTAAAGCAATATCACAGTTTCGCATACATACACACAATTACACGCACACATGTATACAAATTTCCAAGCTCATCTCGTATGTATTCTGTTAGTATCTTAGCATCAATTTAACATTAAATTTAAATTAAAAAAACAACAAAATAACAAAAATACAAAAACACAAAACAAAAATAAGATAAAAAGTTCAAATTGATTACCAAAAAATCCCATAAAATACAAGATTACATAAAATGCATTCAACGAAATGATTTCGATAAGAGATTCCAATGATATTTTGACTGCCTTTGAGTTAATTAGTTTAAGTATTGTAGATTTGCTCCCAGTAGCCTCTCGTCTTCTGTGCGTATTTTCGTTATGATTTCCTACTCACTGCAGATACGAGCAGAGACGTCGATGCGAATCGTCGCAGATACATGGAGGAGAATAAGTAGAGGCAGCGTAGGTCTTATTCTACGCATTTGCCACTTACGGATAGTGTGCATACCACTTGCATTTTCTGAGGCAAAAAGTATCTTCCAGATACAGTATCTGCAACTAATGTCCGTATCTTGTATCCGAAATCTTATGGCGAGTTGCAAATTTTTGTTTTTTTTTACGCATAACTCTAGTCAAGCGTCTTGTAATATAATTAATAAATTTTTAATGATAATTTTTTTAATGATATATTTTAATATTTTAATAGTTTTAAATATTATATTTTATGTTTTATATTTAAGCTATGCTTATGATATTTTTTATCTGAATTATTCACTAAAAACTGATTTTAAGCTTACCATGGCGTTACGAATGGCAAATTGTTGAAATTGTATTTAAATATTATTAAGGATTGCATGCCTCAAGATAAATATTTTAAACATACTTTATATTTCATTCTCATGTATTTTAGATATTAATTATTTAAGCTGCGAAGCAATAATATTTAGTGAAGTACTCAACTGCACAGATACAAAACTGTTTTACTTATGTATTTCGTTAAGTGCTTAACTTAGAGAAACTTGTATAAATAAAACTTTCAAATAAATTTAAAAAGAATTTGTTTTATTTCCTCTATTAATTCTATTCACGGAAAGAAAAGAAAAAAAGCTAGTCACCAGTAACTAGTTAGCATTAATACTGGTGGAAAAGCACTCCCCAGAACGTCTTTCATATATTGTCATAAATATTGATCTGTCACTCCATCTATGATAGCATTATCGACCATCTGAGTTGCGCTGTATAGCATTCCTTACAGCATAATGACTCCGTTCCTTGAGGTTACAAGGTTGCTATATAAGTACGGGTTTGGTCCAACATTCCCACTAATTTGTCTCTTCACAAATTACTGAGTGGGTAGTGGTTGGGGGTTATAAAGGGGGGAAGAGGAGGGGTGGATTGGGTGGGTGATATATAAGTGAACGTTAACTTGGATACAGACCGAGAAACCGGGCCACTTTGTGACGAAACTTTGTGTACGTAGTAGGATAGGAGAACATATGTGCGATGTCTTGAGGTGAAGAGCTGCAGTTAGGGCACACATTAGGAATAAACGTGTTTATGCGTGACAACTAACTGTTTAGCATTTGGATTTTTGCGCTTTTTATATGTGCTACGACAACAAAAACAATAATAACAACAAATACTACTATCAATATATCAGAAATAATCTCCAAAAGTATTACAAAGAAAAATAAAATTCGTATGTCGTATCAGAGATTTAAGAGATGGCAAAAGATGGATATTTATCTTTTACATTTGTTGATGTATTACAAGAAAGGCGTTAAAAACTCAGGCATCAACATTTCTAAATATGAACCACATCAAACCAGGGAGGTGGAGGTTCAAAGAAAATTCTTTTCTGGTTATATGGTTTACTTTTAATGGTCTCACCTATTATACGAGTGCATTGAATTTATTTGAGCTTCTCTAGAAAACTCGTATACATCATATTATGATCTACAGCTCTCACCATATCAAGTAAAAGCTTTTTAAAAAATATCAAGAAAATAGAAAATTGGCCAGACTGGCACTAATTCCATACTTAACATCAGTCACGTAACCATGATTGTGTCGAAGAGGGTATAGGATATACTAGCTAATGTTTTTAGCAGATTTTCTCCAGTGTATTATCTGTAGATTAAATTGTCAAAGAGCTGTATATTTTCCTTTATTTCCTCTCTGGCTACATCACTACTTGACATACTTTTACTGTATTTTAAACATTTTACTTTTATATTAAAGAGAAGGATTTTGATTATCCGAACACGCCCATTTCGCATTGGATTTTAATAAAGGCAGCTATTTTGAATGATGTATTGGTCTCGATAAAGCTTGAAATAATAATTTGATGAAACTAACTAATTAATAGTTATAATGTGTACAAGTCAAAAAAAAATCATGCAAAAAGAAAAGCAGTGAATACGTATTTGCATATATTCGTATATAGGTATGTATATATATAATATATAAAACGTATTCACTGGTTTCTCTTGACTTTGAAGAGCACTCTAATTAACTCGAAAATAATATTATGACTTCAGGCCACTAAAACTATTTTGTATATATTCTTTAATACGCTAAATGACTGAAATAGAGACAACTGAACATGTTGCTCTTTGATATTTGAGAGGTTATAAGTGCAGCGTTCCTTTTAAGAACTGTAAGCCAATAGATGGCTTTAGTTGTCTATTGGAACCCGTTTGGAACCATTTGTATAAGGCTGGATATAATAAGAAGCTCGATGTATGCAAAAAACGTAATGGACCAAGTTTCCATCTGCAATTCGATGTGGCTGTGGTTGCTGACTGATGATAAAAAGTGACTTGTAATCACTTACGAAAAGTCAAGCGAAAGCAGTTGTGGTCGCGATAAACTCGCTAAATCGGTGACCAAGGTAGGATTGACGGATAGGAGATTTTTGCTGTATGTTTGGTAAGATTGGGAGGATATGTACTATCAACAATTGGAGGGTCTGAAGGAACCAATCTCCCAGAAAGAGCCAGCTCTGGGCAATTGGAGAAGAATTACATTTCATCAGGACAACGCCAAGATACACTTATCAGTAATGGCTCCCTAAAAGCTTTGGAAGCTTGGATGGGAAGCTTTTATCCACTCACCTTATAGTCCATTCACCTTAAAATGCCGCATTTAAGTCAAATACTTAAATCTGATCATTCTAACTATGGTAAGTAATTTTACCATTCAATTTTATGCAAATATAATGGATTTTTTTTTCTGTTTACTAGATATATCTAGTAAATCTAAGAATCTTTTATTATTAGAAATTATTTACATTTGCATTGTGCACACTTGCGAAAAGTAGTAACAAACTGAGATATCAAGAAAATCAAATAGAAATTAGTGATGCCAAATGAAATTAAACTGAACCGCAAAAGACAAGAAATTAATTTCAGTGTTTGCTGTGGTGCACTTTGTATCTGTCTTGGTTCAACCGACGGTAACGAATGCAACATTGTGAACCCGCTTTAACGACACTATCAAATGCCGGTGTCATCCATTGAAAGAGGCCACTGTCATAATTTTACGCATTATGCATGCATGGGAATCGGCTTAAGCCTAAGTTCGAACACAACTCTGTGCTCTGACATCACTAAACAAAGTCGCATTTGCGCGTATTAATTTTTATTATTTTTCGTTTTATGACAAACTGATCCGCTTTTCTCCTACGACTTAAACGAAGGTTCTCAGGTCCTTTTCATGCTTAGAACATATGAAACAGTCTTTTTCTGTTTTGCTTATTCAACGCATAAATTAACAATAAAAGAAACGTAAAGAAGACAAGACTTTGTTTTATTTATTTATTTTTTTTTTTTGTTATGCTTTTCTGCTGTCAAAACTGTTTGGTCACTGAGGAACAAGAAAAAAAAAAAAAAATGTGATATATACATATTTCATTATCTTAAGTTAGGCCTTTACTTTGGAAGGTAGAAGATATCCAAAATCCTTTTAATAAATTTTAGTTGTTAATGCGACTGAAGCCTCTTTCCGGCTTGGCGTAACACACGCTCTTAGGCAGCAGTGAATGACAAATGCTTAAACCGCATTTCGTGCCATTTTCGGTCCGGCCTGCAATCAATTTTCTGAAATTTGGAAGCAATTTGAGAGCAGCGGAGTCACTTACTATCAATCACTCAACAAGGTGAAGGTAAGTGTGTTTGGCGCAGTCGCAGGTAGTGTTCCAATAAAATTAGCCCATGAGAACAGAGTGAATCATCGTAGCTTGAAGGTAACAAATTTGCTAAAAACTGCGTAAATGTTCTGATCGATTGATAATTAGTATTCGTCTGTAGTAGTTTCAGATATTTACTTGAAACAGAGAAAATATTATAGAAGACCTTAATTAAAATCAAATAAACAGTTTCCCAGTATATCACTTTAATCAACTGATTAAGAAATTCAAATGATTAAGAAAAAATATATGGTAAGATTCGAATCTATAAAAGTATTATTTAGATAAATATTGTACAAATATCTATTTTGTAAAAAAAAATCTGAAGTTAATTTAGACTACTCTGTTGAGATCAGTGGTGAAGCCAAAAGGGAACGCTGATTGTGAGTCTGAAAATATTTTAAAATCATTAATTTTATAAATTAATTAAACCAGATATTGAAGAAGCTGTTTCTACTCATAAGCAAGAGTCAACAAAAGATACTTTAAAAAAACTTTACATTTAATTTAGACAATGTACAAGGCCTGTACAGATCATAGAAATATGTTTCGTTCTAAAAGCGTGAACGTGAATTTTTTGAATTATCTTTAACTTGACTTCTAATATCGATCTAGCTAGCCGTATCCTATATATAAACCTGTAAAAACCGTGCTATTACTTTTTCTTTAAGATTTGCAATATTTTATTTGATGGATTTTTATCTACACTTAGGCACAGTAAACCAATTACACAATCTCGTCTAATGCAACAGTGCTTGGAGTAAAGCGAACACCTCTTTTATATTTACCTAAGTAATTTATTCCCAAGAATTTGAAATAGATGTATTTTATTCTAATATTTTTTTTGATTTAACCTCTCATGTTTTTAGCCAGAAATCTGTGCAAGTCTTGTTGGCAAATGAATGAATAGTGGTGCAGTAGCTGCTCCAGCTTTGAAAGATCCAGCTTACTATTCTCATTATATACGCATCTAACCAATCTATGCTTACCCGGGATGGTGGAATTAAACACTTATTCAAGAATTAATGCAATAATGTAAAAATGGTCCCTAAATAGCGATCAATTCAAAGTGTCCATGTTGTCAGTCTATATATAATATCGCCCTTATTCTTAATACCAGCATAAGACTTCTTAAGAAAGTCATGATGACTAATGCGATCTTCTAATTATTAATACTCGGATTTTAAGTTTTTCTATATTATGTTTATAATTTTTCGTTTGTTATTCTTCCGATAAGATGAATATCTAAGTAATCATACTTAAGAAAAACTGAAGTTTCTTTCGAAAAACTAAGAATTATAAATGTAAGTTATAAATGAAAGTTTGTGCAGCCTTGGCTTCTTGTGGATAAACACGATTAGTCATCGCTTCTAATTTGACAGGCACGAGTTCTAAGCCTGGCACTTGCAGTCCAAACAAATTATATACGGACTATAAGCTAATT